GTGTGTGTGTGTGTGTGTGTTGATCCATCATTACAGAGAGCTGATGTAAATCTTGTCAGAATAGGCGGGTTAAGTATTGCTCTTTTTTTTTTTTTTGTAATTTCCCTGCTGTTAAAGCAGAATCCCCCCATTTCCCCTCCCCTCCGGCTATTTTTAGCCCCTTTAATCATCTTTATTCACTCCAATTAGTTAGACTGGAGTGGAAGCAATTAGCGGCAGTCTCTTCTGTTAGTTAACACTGTAGAGAATGTATGCTGGATGGGTTTCTCCTGTTAGCTTAATGGGCCTGAACGCATTGTCACACTAGCGCAGGTGGCAAGTCGCTAAAAGAGACACACACACACACAGCCATCGAGTGCACAGACATACAAATGTGTGTGTGTGTGTGTGTGTAGGCAGGAGACACGTGCACACGAGTACACATGCGACCACAGGTTCCCGTCTCACACAAACAGACACACACACACAAGCTCTAATCAGGTAGAGCTGCAGGTTCATGTTAACCATATGGTCACTGCCTCGTATCCGTGACTCCACCCAAGCATCTTGGTAACAAGCTTGAAAGGACTTTAAATCAAGCTTCCCTCTCCTCCTCGCTGCCTGTCTCTCCCCTTAGTGGGGAAACAGAGAGCTGTTTTGTATTCAACATGGAAATCTGTTGGGGAAACGCAGCCTTTGAAACTGAAAATTAAATGTGACAGTGTGAGAGTTACTCTTTGTCCTTGATTTTGTTTCCCCCCCCTCTCCCTCCTCCTCCTTCTCCCGCTGTTATTTTATTCTGTATCTGGCTCCTTTTGTCTCACCCTCCTTCACAATTTGCTTCTTCCTTTCTCTCGCTGTCTTTCTTCTCCAATTTCCCTTTTCCTTTGGTTTCTTTTTGTTGCGCTGCCCCCTCCTTATGCCTCGCGCACAATGCCACACACTCATCTACCGCTCCGTAATACCCGTCGTCCTCATTGCCCGTCCACTTTATTTGCTGTTTTACATTCTTATTCTCCCTCGCACACACCCACTACGGTATCAGTTCCTTCATTTTGATTTCGTTTCTAAATTCGTTCTTGTTCTAAATTTCCCATTTCTTACATAAATTTCGATTTAAATTTACTCTCGCTCTTAACAAGCTCGAGCAAACTTTGTTTGCTTGGTTTACTGTACATGTAAGAATAGACAAACAGTCGATCCTCTTTCAGGAAATGCCTATTGATAAGTTATTTACTCAAACAAATGACACAAAAAATTACGTAATCATTTGTTGTCCCCATAGGTATTGAAGTGTGTGGTATCAAACAAAGAGCTCTCTGAGGACTTCAGACAAAACAGATTGTGGATTCATGAGTCTGGCAGTGGATTTAAAAATAAATATTAAAAAACAAAACAAACTGAGCAGCATTCCACTGAAGGGATATTTTCTTTTTTACAAGCGACATCGTGACCCTTGAAAATTCAGCCTCAGAACAGACTGTTCAGTGCAGAACCAAGTCTCCCAACATCCCCAGCGTTGGGTATCGGTGGGTAACAGTTTGCGTCAACGTTGCATGTCTATAATCAACAACAAATGTGACCTGCAGTGGAGGTGTGTCAGGAAAACCCTAAACTACAGTTTGCCGGTAAACAAACAAGCAGGGAAAGAACAGGTCTAAGAAGAACATAAACAATGTGCTCCTGACAGATGCATCAGCGATAATGTGCCGCGCCACATTAACGCTAGACCTGTTTGATATCGACCAAAGGCAACTTTTCAGAAGAAAAAAAACGTCATACCTGCTTTGAAGCATGGTGGTAGAAATGTTATGGTCTGGAGTTGCTTGGCCGCCTCAGGGACTGGACAGCTCGCGGTCATTGATTCAACTATGAATTCTGCTTCATATCAAAGAGTGCTCGAGGCCATCTGTCCAAGAGCTGAAGATGAAGAGGCAGAAGTGGACCTTTAAAATGGATGATGATCTTAAGCGCAAAAGCAAATGAACCAAGAGAAGTCTCATAAGAACAAATGGTTTGTTTTTTAAAGGGATTTGGGGGATTTGAAGTGGGCAGTGATATGACACAGTCCCACAAACATCTTGAAACTGAAGGGATTTGCATGGCAGAGCTGTCATTTCTGCCAACTGGTGTCAGAGATTGGTGGACTATTATGGAGAATGCATAAAACCAAATTATTTCTGCAAAAGATGGGAAACATCACCTTATGAAAACCTATTGTTTTTTCATCTTACATACAACTCCCACAAGTCCCTACTTTAAGTCCACCACCTCAGTTACTGTCCTTATCTGGAGCTAATGTTAAAAATAATGTCTTCCATCCCAGCAAAACACACACTTTTTGTCTACTTGTACTACTCTGAACACTTTACTATACTCATGTATGACCAACGCGTGTATTTCTAGTGTTAGCAGACCACTTGTTATGTATATTTAACCCTTTCCTCTTCTTCTTCTTCGCCCCACTACCACCACACTCAGCGATGAGCAACCTGACCTTCCAAATTACACCAGACTCCAACAAGGACAGCGAGACCATCCAGATGGGTCGAGACCTCAAGCTGTCGTGTCACGTTGACGCCACTCCGCAGGAGAAAGTCAACTACACCTGGTACAAGAACGGTGTGCCGGTCTACAACTCCGACAGCCTGATTTTACTGCGCAGCGATCCGGACATGGCGCCCGGCACCAGTAGCTTGGAGATCGTGGACATGAAGTTCAGAGACTTGGCTACCTACAGCTGCGTGGCCAACTTCCCGGGCAGCAGGGTGCCGGAGCTTCGTGTGGACGTCAACATCTCTCAGAACAGTGGTGAGGTTTTCTTTTTTTTACATTATGTCTCTGTCAGACAGAGTTTCTGTTGGATGTAGAAATCGCTGAGACACACTACCAAAAAGACAGTTTTCAAACTATAAGCATGCAAATACGACATAAATACATGCACATTTGTAAAAGTACTATGCCTAAGACAAGGTAAAGAGCTTCTATTTGCTATTAATCTCAACCTTCATTGATTAATTGCTTGATCTTTCATCTCTGTGGCATCTTTCACATACAAGTTCACTTCATCTTCATTTCATACAATAAATATATGCATATTGTATGCAGATATTATATTCAATATAGGGTTGGGACCTAAAAAAAACATGTTTAAATGAATTAGAATTAGGAGATAATTTATTCATATTCATTGAAATGCAACCAAATTTAGCCTATCCTAATATATGCCATAAAATTAACTTTGTTCCCCTCATTCATGGCGCCGCTGCCGATTCGCTTGAATGACTAATGTCAAGCTCTTGCGTATAGCCTAACCTTTATTAGTGATTATTTCCATCTACAGTGTTCAATTCAGAGTGGTTCTTCACATTATTTGACAGTTTGGCGTCTTAATTTTTTAGATTCCTTTCCCTCGTTTTGCAGACACTGTGTTACGCAGCATGCAAAGGGTCAGAAAGACTGGGCGTCCTTACATCATAATTGCAGAATGAGTTTTTTCCCCCCCCTAAATCCTGATAGTTTTAACCTTTATGCATAATTCATAATATATTTTCCTCAGATATGTGCTCTTCTTTGCCTCTGCATGCACCTTGTTGCTCTGCTGGCACCACACGGAGGACGTGGTGTAAATTATGCATTCATATGTGCATTCTTCTGTGTGGTTAACTGTAATGTTAGTACTTAATACTGAGCAGTAATCTGTTTTAATGTCCCCATGTTTCATTCAAACTGCATGATTGTCCAATAAAATTAGCCTTGTAAATGTCAGTTTGTGTGATACCATTTTATCCTCCATCTGTCTCTGCTATCCGCGCTCTCTGTCTGTGCCATCTGAGATTTTGAAGTTATGTCCGCCGTCTGATTTGTTGCATAACAACATATAACCCGTGTGCACTTAAGCTTAGATTCATCTACCTACACCATTTAGGAAGGTGAAGTGATACCTCATAAACTTTCCCTGAGGTTTTTTCTTTTTTAATTGAGCTTACATAAGTATTTTCATTTCTGTGGTATTATTAAGAAACTGTGTATTTTTTTTTCAGTGGATATTTACAACCTGCAGTATATTAGAATTTCCTTTGCCTTTTTATTTTTGCAGTCACTAGTGTAATAAAACATTTAAAAAGAAAATAGCTATTAGTTTGTTCAGATAAAGTAAAATGTAAGCCTATTTTTTTCCTTTTCCTTCCCTCCAGTCTCTCCCCCGGTGCTGTCGGTTCCACCAGGAGGTCAGATTGTAAGCGTGAGAGAGGGAGGTAATGTGGAGCTGGTGTGCCTGGTGGCGGATGGAAAACCGCGTCCGCCTATACTGTGGTCACGGACGGAGAAGGACCTGCTAATGCCATCAGGGACGCCCGTAGTGGAGACGCCCGACGGCCGCTTGAGGCTACGGAACGTCAGCCGGGACATGATGGGGGCGTACCGGTGCCAGACCGCTCCGTACAACGGGCTGAACATCAAACGCAGAGAGACGCAGGTCCAACTCAATGTGCAGTGTGAGTGTGGATCAGATTATTTTCACCTCTCAGCGTCCTGTAGATCAAACAGAAGGCAGGCATCACACATGGAGAGCACTTGCATCACATGTTGCGGCGCAGTTTGGCGTAAACACGTCTGAAATGGTTACGACTGCTTTAGAAAACTATCATAGGCGGGTAATACGCTAAGATGAGGCAGAATAATATGAAACTTTAATGAACAGTGGCAACACACAATAGTAATATAACAGTAATGAGGTCAGTTTTTGAATACAGTTTCTTCTAATGGTACCTTTGTGAAAACTTTCCAAACTCATAAAAAAAGCCTTTCTTTGTTGGGTTTGCGGAGCTTTCGGAGTTCCATTAAAACATTACTTTTGTCCTATTCTCAGTAATGGCATAATCTTCCCACTTTGCTCAAAACTATGCACCCTAAAGATGGATAAGAAATATATGGTAATGTAAAGAGAGTAAAGGGTGGTGACGGGGGGGGAGTGAAAGAAAACGAGGACATACCTCCATGGCTTAAAGGCTGTTTTCTCTAAACTTACCCCTTTACCTTTTTGAGCACTCCACTGGGGTCTGTCATTATAAAACTCCCGGAGGATGGGCTTTGAGAAAGGAAAAGGATCTGTCTTGCCAAAGTAATGCATAATTTCAATACCGTTTTCCCTTCCCATGAGGTTACCTACTTTTTTTACTTACTTCTGCAGTGCTTGAAATGTGGCAGCGCTCACCAGTGCTGAGGAATGGCACCTCTTGACTATTGCACAGCTGCCTATATGTTTATACCTGAGCAAGCTTTTCAACGAAAGTATCAACTATTGCAAAGATAATAAGCCTCCTCATTCATCCCATCAACTGAATGTCACCCAAAGCTGTTGCGCATGCTGTGCTGCTGTTTCTTTTTCCTTTCTATTCTCAGAAGAGGTCTACCCAGTCAATGACTTGGTGGATATTTCTTCTTTCTTTCTCAGATGGTAGAGCGTTAAAATAGGACAAAATGTGCTCCGTTTGTGTGAGGCAAAATCTGCAAATTGTATAAAATTTGTCAGCAGCAGCAGCAGTAACACAGAACCAACTATTAATTGTGTTGTGTGAGTTAAAGCCTTGATATTCATGTAACCCAGTATAAACAAAAACTGATAAAACACAACCTGTGACACCAAAGGTCTAGTGCTGATGTTGTTTTGTGACTGATTCAACAGGCTTCATCGGTTCTGAAATGATGATGTTCATTAATTGAAAATGTTATTAGATGGATCACTAGTATACTTTATAGGGTCCGCTTGTATTCACAGCCATGAATCACCGCACTGGTAAGTGTTTAGATTATTTCAGCAAATTCGCGTTAATTGGAATTCAGTTTTCAATTCACCCTTTTCAGAATATCCAAGGGTGTGCCCGCTTTTCAAGGCCAACTTAAAAAGGTAACTATTAGCTGAAGTGATGAAATGTAAAATATAACAGGAATAAAACACTGAGGGATACAATGAACTGTTAAGATATGTAAAGGCTTGAAAAAAAGAGAAAAATGAAAAGTTCTCTATTTATCAGTGCTGACATTGGATCAGACCTCTCAGGCTGATGTACTTTTTGGTGCAACTTTAGACTATTTGACTCAAACATTTTTTTGCAAGTTGATGAAGAAAAGTCAAGCTTTGGGCACGATGGCTGTTTTCCACACCGTGTCTTTGAGGTCACAGCTTTTAGATACCGCATCATAGCTGCTGCATTTATTTGTTGCCAATCAAGAAAAGTAGAAAAGCAATTCAGCAGTTATGTGTCCGGTACACATCCTGGACAGAATCAGCAATTAACAAAAAACTTGAAAAGGCTTTTTCTCCTCTTAAAAGCAGAGCCAGCTAGGAATCAGTCAGAGTATAAGACCAATTTCTCAATGTAACATACCTGATAAATACAGGTCCAAAATAATGCATTCATGCCCTCCTCTCCTTTCCTTTCCTCTCCTCTCCTCTGCAAGAAGGATTTACAGGGCTTGCTAATGCAGGCGGGGTGGAGGGGCAACACTCTGTGAGCTCTGCTGTCCGCACCGGCCAACTCTGATTAATGGACCAGGTGGCCACCCCACTATGGACAGAGAGAGAAACAGAGCGATGAGACAGATACAGGAGCAGGACTACGAGAGGAACGGGGTTAAGAGAGTGCTTGAAGCAGGGATAGTGGAGGCTGGGAGGAGGACCTGATGGGGGTCGAACAAAAAGAAAGGAACAGGTTGGCAGTTAGAGAAACAACGTGAATGAAAACCGACTTCTGTGTAGCTAACAAAGTGTGGAAGAACAGACCCTCTCTCAGTCCTGCCCTCTTTCTCTGCCCCGGTCTAATTACAATTCATTTATTTATTTTATCGGGTTTGTTTTTCCTTCTTCTGGTGTTTGTCACTGTTGATTGATGTGAGGGAAGGATGCCATCATTTCTATATGGCAGATATAATTAGGTGGATTTGCAGATTCTTGCCTCTCCCACTTCCTTTTTTCGCCTTGTATCCCTTCTTAACTTGCCCGGTCTTCTTCTTCTTCTTTTTTTTTTTTTCCCCCTCCCAGAGAGGTGGCTGTTCTTCCTCATTGCCATTCTCATCATCATCAATCAGCTAACTGCTGGCCATGAGAGAAGACCTCTCTCTGTCTTGTCATTCCCTTTCTGCATCCTGCATTCTCTCATTCGCTCCCCCACCTCCCACACTCAATCACTGACTTCTCTCACTTTCACACCACACTTTCCCTATCATTTATCTTCCTCATTGTCTTCTTCTTTAAGAGCCGTTTCTCTCTCCTCCCTCATCCCACCTCGCTCCCCCGCACCAAACGCCGCCTCCCCTCTCTCGGTCTCATGTAAATTGATTTTCTCTTTGTGTACTGTAAATGTTTGGGTTGGTCAGTGTTGCATTCCCGGATGGAATCCATTTTGCATTCAATAAGACAGATAGCGATGGCGTGTTTACATGGATTATGGGGCTCTGACTATGAAACATTGCAGGGTGGTGCCACCAGCTCCAAATGAGGTGCAAATAAGTGAGAGAGAGAGAAGAAAAAAAAACAAAGCTCTGGAGAATTTGAAAAGTTGAGTTGGAAATTGAAGTAACCTAACATCCTGTAAAAAAAAAAAAAAAGTGGAACCTACTGCCTGGAAACTTTCATAATTGTTGAAATGAATGCATGAGGGCAGGTAAGAGATTGTAATAACTTGCCTACCAAATTCTGCTGGGGATGGAATGATTTATAAACTGCTCACAAACCAGCTCACAACTCGCCTCCTCCTTTTCCTCCCTCCTGCCTACTTCTATCAACCGTTGCTCCACAGTTTGCCTGTTTTTCTTTACCCTTGTCACCTGTTTCCAAAGTCAGTCATCAGTATGCATATGTGTGCACGAGCGGGGGTATGTGACCGTACACTAATCGGTCCGTAGGATTACAGTAAGACCTTTGACCGCTCGCACATCCTTCAGCTCTATCACATAGTTGTGGCTCTAAGAGGTCAGGGAGACACAATAACGACCGAACACCAAACAGTGAACGACAAGCGTCATCATATAAATGAAAAGAAAAAAAAGAAGAAGCGGGGAAGATGTGTCATTGTTGTATCCACATGGTGAGAGTCTTGACTAAAAACCAAACATAGAAGCTGAGGAGTTAAATGCTGTGGTGGTTTCCAGTCTTTTTAGCATTCAGGTGCTCACTCGTGTTCCTCGGACTGGAGTACAAGCACAGAATGGTAAACTGATTTCAAACAAGAATTTGGTTTGGCTGTGTATACCTGTCTACAGCAAAAAAAGAAAAAAAGTCTCATCACAGAGAGGATAGCTGTGTTTTAATAAGCCTTTCAGAGTTCTCAGAGCAGCATCATATAGGTAGTGTGTTTGGGTTGCTTGTAGTTGCTCAGTTTTTATTTACTTCAAATGTGCAAAATGCAGAAGCTACTAAAACTTAAAATGACAATGAGCTGTTTTGAGAAAGATATTCAGTGTGGGTATCGACAAATTTACTGGTCTCACACCGTTCCTTTAAAACCTCTTAAGACCTGGCATCCACATGCATGGGCATCACATGTTACATATTAGTATATTACATATTATTACAGTCGTTATTTTTTATTTTTGTTATTCTTTTTTATGATTTATTTTTAATTTTAAAAAAATATTTTATGTATTTTTTAAAATATTTTTTTATTTTCTTTATATTTTTTAAAATCTTTATTTCTCTTTGCTATTTGATCTGATCAAATAGCAAAAAGAAATTTAAAAAAAAAGCATATCAAACAAGAGCTTGGGTCGTAAGAGGTTAAGTCACTACCATTTAAGAAAAGACAGTTTGTAACATAAATACAATCTTATTGGACATGCACCAAGATCAAGAAGAACAAGATCTCCAGCTACAGGATTGGCAAGAAGATGCAAAATACGTAAAAACAAAGGTACTCGATTGGGCGGCTGTGGCTCAGGCGGTAGAGGTCAGTCAATGATCGGAAGGTCGGCGGTTCGATTCCGCCCTGTCACCTGTGTCCTTAGGCAAGACGCTTCACCCACCTTGCCTGGTGTGAATGTGTATAAATGGATTGTTTGAGGTGGTGGTCGGAGGGGCAGAATGGCAGCCACGCCCCTGTCAGTCTGCCCCAGGGCAGCTGTGGCTACAATCATAGCTACCACCACCAGAATGAATGCGTGTGGATGAAGAATTGACAGTGTAAAGTGTCTTTGAGTGTCTAGAAAAGCGCTATATAAGTCTGATCAATTATTATTAGATTGCAGAGCCCCCTCATGCCCTTCTACTCACAAACAACGGTGCATGACCGGATAATTAATTTGATCTTTGTGCAAAAATTAGAAGACCATGTGAAAACGAGAATCTAATAAAATAATGTCACTGCCAAAAAGACACTATAATCTAAATCCAAACTAAGGAGGTACGTTTAGGTTTATGTTAAAAGCTATCAACACAGGATAGTCTATGTTCAGTTACAGCATCGCTCCTATCAATCACCCAGAGAGTCACACAATAAGAGCATCTCCCTGTTTCAGTCTCCTCCACTGCTTCTTACTGTACGTTATCTTCCTGTCTGTCGCTTTCCTCCCCTCCTCGCTGCGCCTCATTCTGTAGCCCTATCTGTCTAAATTACAGGCATACCGTAGATTAGACTATAATTACACATCTGTGTCTGATAAACTTGATTCATAAGGGGCTCTAGTCATGCCGCCTCACCTCTAGGGGCCTTAACACCAGATCTCATCACCGTTAGTACGGCATACCACTAATAGCATCTTGTCTATTATCTACATGATTAGCCAGGGGTGAACTAGCTGGCTGGTGATTTGTGGCGGAGTAATTTGGCTGTGTTGTGTCTCGGCTGACCCCCGGGTAACAGGAGCTAGTCAGTCATTAACCGCAGAGCCACACATCACGGCTGACAGGTTAATTACAACTGGTTAGGATAGGTTAGCAGCAGGGATGGGATTGTGCCTTGTAATGCCTGATCCCTCGTGGCAATAACAGTTGTTCTGTGTCAGATGATTTGTCAAAACTTATGTTTTCTGACGCACTGAGGAAATCCACACTGCAGAGGATAAAAAGGAAGAAAAATGAGACACGGATGATAGGGATGTGTTTAAACTACCGCTGCAGTCCACTTGGAATTGTCTACATATCGAAGCTCAGTCTCCTTCTCAAGCTTACCTGCTTCAGTTGATCTCAGTCCTTCCCTTATGATGGAAATAAATAGGGACAATGGGTTTCACCTCATCGCTGTGCTTAATCACAAAGGAAATGCCTCTGATATTTTGTACAGTCACTGTATATAAACATATGAAAAAGGGTTTAATAAGTTTGCATGAAGGTGGATACAGTGTTAAACTGAGAAAAGTTAAAGATGCATTCATTACAAGAGAGGAAAGGCTGATGGGTGACTGAACAGTGTCACAGCGGAGTGAAAACTGCAGCTGTCCTTGCATTAAATTATGAAATTAACACATAGCAAGACAGCTTCACTGTTAAGAAATAACATCATTTTTCTTGAAAATAAATACAAAAAGGTAAAAATTACATATTCCACCTATATATTTATTATTAATTATGTATGCCTAAACTTCTTCCTTGACTTTTGCTTGCAGCAGAGATGTTAAGGAATAACAGACGGACCTGAGTGAAAACAGTGTGGGTGTGTTTAATGATTGACTAAATGAATTTTTTCGTTAATGCTCGGTCAATTCAGAGGCTGTGACAAGAACGACTGAGCTCGGTGTGCATCATGTTGGTAGACTGCTCCTCAAATCACAACTAGCTTATACCTGTAAAATAAAAACTTCATCGCAGAAATACTTTAAGTGGACTAAACATGTTTTTTTGTTTCTGCAGATCCTCCCATTCTGGACCCAGTCTTTCAGGATATGCGCTCCAGGAACTATCAGATGGTGACCCTCAGATGCGCGGTGCTGCGGTCAAACCCTCCTCGCCTGACAGACATTCGGTGGTTTCGTAATGGCGACTTCATCCGCATGCCGATGCCAGACCTGAAGGAGACGCCGGAGCTCAAGTTCAAACTGGAACCGGCCAACAATGGCACCTATGAGTGCCGAGTCAGCAACAGTGCAGGAACATCGACGTGCACGTTTAATGTCACTGGTGAGTGAAAGGGACTCAGTCTTTGCTTTATCAATTCATAGAAAAGAGTCTATGTATCTATCTGTCTATTTTCCATCCATCCATCCGTCCGTCCGTCCGTCCGTCCATCCATCCATCCATCCGTCCGTCCGTCCATCCGTCCGTCCATCCATCCATCCATCCATCCATCCATCCATCCATCCATCCATCCATCCATCCATCCATCCATCCATCCATCCGTCCATATCAACATGAACATCAACATTTTTTCTTTCTCTCCCTCTGTTTCTCTGTCCATGTCTTACAGCGCAGCCCTACAACGCTGAGTTTTACTTCGATACGCCCAACCCCGTCCGGATTCTGAAAGGAAACAACTACTCCTACAACCTGCAGTGGACGCAGAGAGACCCCGAGGCCACAGACCGCATCATAGGCTACTGGATTGTTATCCGAAAGGTAAAGGGACTCCCACACAGACACTTAAATCCAGCAGAGTAATACTCATTGACGCATCCACACACAAACCTGTGAGTACTGTACTTCTACTCTGGTGTGTTCCTGTGGTACATGGTACAACAAACAGGAACTCACTGACTTTGTTTATCAGATACTCATGAGACATTGATCAGTCTGACTTAAGCCAAGGTAAACTTTGGTCACCTGTCTTCGATTGTGAGAATCACCTTGACTGAACATGGTGGCAGCTGGTATAGACAAGAACAGACATAGGCTCACCTCTGCATGAAGTGAAGTCATTATTCTAAGTAAACATGGGGCTGCTTTATGAGCTCGGGGAGTGTCAGGCATGTGTAGTCAATCAATAGACGCCTGCACTGAATGAACAAAACCTCTTCTCTCCTCACATCTCATTAGGGCTCATAGTGTTTTTTGTTAGTTTTGTACTCTGACGCAATTCTTACCCTGAATAAGAATCGAATAGAAAGTAGAACTAGACTTGTTGTTTTGGTTTATGTGTTCCATTTTATCGTCATCCAAAAGTCTTCCTCCATTCTGGCTGATTCATGAAAAGTCCTCAGACTCAGTAGGTTAATGGTGGTGAAATTATCTGAGGATGGATCTCAGGACTGCATTACATGTACCTAATAAGTGGTGCCATAGACCAACTCTTCTATTTAGAGTTTGACATAGATGGCTTCCTTCATCCCTCTCCTAAACTCTCTGCCGTCCTTGTCCAGAATGTGGACATTGCTGTCCTCAAAGGACTCTAAGATGAAGTTATTCATTTGTTAAAATTGTCAAGAATACCTCTTGAAGTGACCAAATGTACAGAAAAGAGAGCAAAGACAAACAAAACTCTGATTACAACAGGTAAAGAAAACCAAAACAGAATCGTATCATCACATTTACTCCTGTTACGTACTCTAGCTGGTGTTCCTACTATCATCTGTTTCATAATATCAAAATAAATAGAGATAGATTTTTTTTTAATCAGCCCTCTGGTATTCGTCTTTGTGTTTCTGATTCCTTTTCTGCTCTTACATTCTCTCCTCTTTTCTTGTTCCTGCCTCTTCAGTAATAGTCATCACATCCATTCAATAGTCAGCTTGCATCACTCACAGGTCTCATTTTTTCACTTCTGAGGGTGCAGAGATGAGACGATGACTGGCCACGGCTAAAGGCCTGCGCCTGTGTTCACAGAAGGTTGCAAAGCTTCACATCATTTCAGATATTCCACGTACAATTATTTTGTTTTGAGGGATCGGAGTGACAGAAAGACAGACAATAATGTGTTTTTTCCCAACGGTGTAACCAAAACCTAACAAGACCAGGCCCCTCCACTGCCAGCATCTTTCATCTTAGCCACAATTCGGCTCAGAGACAGTTGAGACGATGCATTTTTAATGATATTTTCCTGTTTTAGCTTGTTCTCAAATGATTGACTTTACACTGATGTGACTTTTTTTTCCCCCTCGTATCCCTGTGATGGGTGTTAAATTAGCCCCACTGTCACAAACTGGAATTTACAATAAACATGTACTGGAGTAACCCTGATTTAAACCAGAAAACGAGCTGCATGTGCTCGGGGAGATCTGGTTTTTCATACATTTTCGTGAGGCTTTACCATTAACCCCAAATCTGATCGGAGGTTGGGGACTTCAGGACATCTTTTTGTTTTTTTTTTCAAACATGTATAGACTCCTGGGCCTGAGTCAGAAGACAGGAAGGATAGAAGTGAATTATACACAACTGGCTGCATATGTGTGTGTGTGTGCATTTGTGTGAGAGACACCGAAACAGAGGGAATGCAGGGTCTGCCAGCTTGCTTTTGTGCGGATGAATAGCTAATTCCCCTCCTACTTCAAGACTTGGCTGCTTACCTTATTAAGTAAGACTCTTCAGGGAGACAGAAAATGAGCACCGGTCTTCCTAAGATACACATTAGATTGCATGTCTGAGCTCGCTAAAAACAACTCTCCCTCTACCTTCTGCGGTTGTCCTCTCTTTTCCTGCCAGCGTGTCTCCTTATTTCACTCCCTGCATCTCTTTCCCAGTCTCATTTCCATTTCTTCCTTTCCTACCTCTCACTCTCCTCATGTTCCCTCTCTCTTTTTTGTCTATTTTGTCTCTGTGTTTCCTGCTCTGAGGTGCTGCGCTGAGTGCTAACTTAATGGCATTTAATGCTGGGTGAACCGTGGCAACTGAAATAGCGCTGATAAATAGTCGCTGCAAGTTGTTATGCTGACAGTGTTAAAATAATGAGTTGCATTAAGTGGCAGCTTAGGACTTCTTAAATGTTGTTTAACTTTAATTTAATTTCAAGGTTTTTTTTTTACCTGCGTATTTTTACGTGTGCATTCGAGAGCGACTGAAGACGCGCCTAAAAAAAAAAAAAGAAGAAAAAAAAGTAGGAAAGCAGAGGGTGAGAGCGAGCGAGGAAGTGAATGAAAGGGTGCGAAAGAGAGAAATACGACGCAAATTAAAGAAAAACAGAAAATCTCTCTGGTCCTCTCGACTATTAAATAGAGTATGAGAACATTCAGATGTAATACCATCTCAATTTCACAACCCATCTATTTCTGCAACATTCTCCAGCTCATCCTTTTAACGCCTTGACACTATCTTTTTAGCACATTCAAAATGATGTGGGGATCTCAGGGGAGGCGTGCAGACACAGAGGGGAATACAAGAGGACTCAGATCGGTTCATCCGGAGCACTGCTCTTTAGCGTAGGCCTCAGCTCGTGGCGAGAACTTTTGCCCGTTTGCCTCGACTTCCGTTTTGATGGTGGGTGTGTTTCCAGTGCGAGTTTGTGCACTTCGGGCTGTGTGCCTGCGTTTATGCATGTATTTGCATTCTGTATTTACTTGCATGTGCAGTGCATGTCCACTCCTGTGTGTCTGTGTGGGCCAGCCTGCACCATGACTCACTGGCTGGCTGTGAAATCCCTGTTTACACTTCTTAATTTAGTTTCATTCTCCCCGCAGGGGGGGTTTCCCTACGTAGAAATTAACAGAGCTGACAATCCCTCGGTTTTTTTGTCTTTTCGTAAACTATCCTTACAGTTTCCTCTTTTTCTCACATCACAACCTCCATGTCTGCAGTTTCTTTAATGAATAGTTACAGGAGATAATTAATATGTGCTATTTTTGTGACAAGAGAAGCAGCTGTACTAACCCTGTCGTTGCAGTTTATCTTATTGTGGCTCGCTGGCACGGAAAACTTCATCAGAGTCACACCTGATTTATTAATGCTCTTCTTCTTTAATGGAGTAAATAACCATGATTGACACTCACTGAATTTGGAAAGGACAAATCTGTGGAAGTCTTTCACTAAAAAGCAGCTGCAGATTTGTGAAGTCTATTAAAAGAAAAGCACAAAACAGCGAGTCGGTTGTGACAACAACAAGTACAGCAGCCAGCGATGAATCTGTTATCTGATATTTTTTAAAAAGAGGCATCAGATAGTTCTGTTTGGGTGGTCTTCAATCTTGAACATGATGTTCATCAAGCTCTGAAATTATCTTCTCTTTTTCTCTTCCTCTATGATGTTTTCTGTGCAACCTTTTTTTTTCTTCCTTCACTTCAGTCGTGCATGTTTGAACGCTGCCCTGCTGAACTGCTGCGGACTGGTCGAGACTCTTTTGATTTCCTCCGTGCGGCCGGCTGTACAGATGATCGCTAGCTAGCCATGGCTGCCCTGACCGGCTGTGTGTGTGGGAGTGTGTCAGCGTGTGTGTGTTTACGTTCAACTTAGCCTCCGACTGAACTCCGTTAATTCCCTTCCATCTCTCTTCTTTTTGTTCTTGTCTCTGTAGCAGATTCACAAACCCCCTGGGGAAGAGCACGAGGTTTTTCTTGTTTTTTTTTGTTCTTCTGTTAAATAATTGGGAACTCGTGCTGACGCGTCCATGCGTCATTTCTGACTCACCTGCGTCTAATTGCGTCTCCCCATTAACTTTGTAAGCGGTCTCATGGCCTCTAGAAATTGGCTTACATTCTGCATGTCTGTGGCCTTGAATGTTAAATTTAGAAACTGCTGATCCGGAGTAGCGTATTTTCAGCTGTGCTTACTTTTCACAAATCACATGTTGCATCTCCAGCAAGTAGAATGAAAGGTAAACATGAAGCAGGCTTTGATTCATGCACATATCTCATAAAAATGTATTTATTTATGTATGTTTGTTACAAAGTGTGTCTCTCCCATTCCAAACAGCTTAATCGTATAAACACCACAGCGAGTGTTACAGATCACACATACTGTAGTCAATGCACAGACCTAACTTGGCATGATGTACATATACACTATATGTGTGTGCATTTCTTCTTTACTTTCACATTTCGTTTCTCTTTGCGCCTTTCTTTCCCATCTTTGAATCCATCCTCCTCATCTCCATGCAGCCAAGAAGTTTAGTGTGGCAAAAGTTGTGCCGCCGACCCGCCCTGACACCATAACTCCACTTCTCTATGCGCTCTGAGACACAGATCCACACCTGTGCAAACACACATCCCCATTATCATATATATGAGAGATTAAAAATATTCATGATGAATTAGAGTTGTACATTAAATCAAATATATGAATAATTTATATACTTGTGTGTTCACATCAAAAAAAAAGAACACACGTAGCTATATAGACACAGCGCTTGCTTTTTTTTGGAGCCACACGCCCAGTATCAGTCATAAAAGAGATCCATTAATAGAGGATAATAGAAAAATTAACCTCTTTGTTTGAAGACGCTTCCTCTCCTCATGCTGTCAATCCAAGTCTCTCTCGTGTGTGTTTCCATCTCTTGTTCTCACATTGTTGTACCTCTTTTGACAGTCTGATGAAGACATAAAAAAAAAACTCAGAAAAACAACCTGGCTGAAATTCGTGAAAGCTTCTGTGCGGCATAGACACACACACATGTGAAGACAGGGTAGTTCACATATCAGTCTATCAACCAGCCACCTCTCTGCCTCTTTAAATATGTCAGTCACTCACTCCTGTCACTTCGTCTGCTCTCTCTGCTGTGTACATTTCCTCCTCTCCCCCCTTTCCCCTTCCCTGCAGCTCAGACACACACACACACACACTGACGCACACATTATGTCCGCTGACCTACTGAGGGTGGCGGAGAGAGACAGAGGCAGGGAGACAGCGACTTTAACCTGTAGTAGGAGCTGCTGAATTCCTCTGAGTCACACTTCAGCACCTCATTGATCCAGTGTGTTTCAAGATCCACACAGTCTACGTGCATGTGCATGTGTGTGTGTGTGTGTGTGTGCATACTCTTAGTCCAGCCATTTTTTATGTCATCTGTCTCCCACACACTGTAAAAACAAGCATGTGCGCGCAGACTCTGTCCACTCATGAAAGAAGACACATTCGGCCTGTTTCAAACGGCTCCTCAGAACTATTAACTCGTCTCCTCCTGCTAACACACACACTCCATGCATATTACATGAGCGCAGCTTTTCTTTCCCGCTATATTCCACATAATTATGCACATGCCGCATGAGTAGTGTGTAAATGTTTATATGGCTGAGTGTGAGCGTACGTCGGTGGTAAAAGGGCACCATTCATTTTAAATACAAATATCTGAGCAAATGACTTTCAAAGCCGATAACTGTGTGTGTCGGCGATGGAAACGGCGCCGAGCGATGCAGCCAACTGATCAAAGAGTGACTCAGAACTAATATATGGTATTGTAATACAACGCGATACATTGTCGAGATTGAATCTGTATTTTCTCCAACCATTTGGCTGCAGAAGTCTGGCTGCGGTTCTCTTTCTCAGAGATGTTTATGAGCCTTTTTGGTGAGCCTTTTCCCTTCTAAACCTCTCAGACAGTTTTACTCTTGTATATATATTTAGGCCCAAAGAGATGAAATTATCCAGTGTTTCACAAAAAGGAAAAGCATTAAACATAACGACTGGTGAATATATTAGAACTTTGTTAAACCTCATTAATAAATGCTGGTATCTTGCACCGAACCTCTAGATATGAAATCATGGACAAAACTGTGTAGAAACTATACATCCATTGTTAAGTGGAGATTAGATGCACGACTTTTCTTGCAATTAAGTACTTCTGTGTTTTTTACTGATGCTTCTACTTTAGTAAAAGACTTTCACTGTATAATATTTTCAATGGTTTCCACCACTGTGCCAAAATGCAGCTCCTCAGAAATAGATGGAAATCCTGTTTTTTTTTTTTTTTATTACTATTTATTCAACACTCACTTTATTTTTTCTCAAATATATTGTCTTCCTTAGGTTCCTGTTTGGTTTAGCTCCTCTCAGTCACAGCCAGACAGAACATATTTGCAGGAACCTGTGAATATCATTCCATCCAAATCGTTATTTGTTCAAAAGCTCCATTTTGCACTGATATTACACTTTCTCCCAACACAAACACTATCAAGACTTGGAACAAGTTAGCAGGGAGAGGTGCACGACCTTATTTGTGAAAACATTGACAAGAAGCATTGCTGTTTGAAGAAATCTAAACCTGTTACCCTTCCTTGATGTCACACTGCTGCTTTTTCATCAAAAGTGTAACCTGCTGCACAACATTCTGGCTCTAAGTCCTTGTTAACCCTCATCTTTCTGAATCCCTGTCTACATAAATATGCAGTTTAATGACATATTATTGCATCGTATACATATTGCATGTTATACAATGGGAGGAATTGTGATTTAACATTAGAAAAACAATTATTTAGTGTGCTTTGCCTGCTGCTGGGGGAGGAAGGGATCTTCTATGAGTGGCAAGACGGCATGAAAAGTTGGAGCAAGTAAAATGCAAACAGCCAGAATGGCACCGAGAAAAGGAGAATGAACAGCCATTAGTGGCACATCGCCTGGTGAGGAAGGAAGGATTCGATTCCAAGCATGTTGCAGAGAACACACTTGGAGGGATCGGACTGTGGCTGCCATGAGGGACTGGAACGGTAATTGGACTCATACCAAATTTCTGGCAGCCCGGGCAGGAGTCACCGTGGTCTCGTCAATAAAAATGATCAGCTCCGTGTAGCTAAGCTTGAATTTGTGTTGGAGAGTAGACATCCAATGGGAACAGCTCACCTCAACTTGAGTGTCAGAGGACAGGAAAGAAGGCAGAAGTGGGGATGTCAGAACATACAGTGCTGTCGCAATTACAGGGAAAGTTACGGGACGCATCGGTGCCTCTGACTTAGCCTTTGGATTGGAGAAGCTGAGTGGAATTTATATATATATACATACATATATATATATAAAACCTAGTACATTAGATATTATGTGCACAATATTCCAATTGCTGACCATTTAAGGAATCTGTACAGTAGACATTTGCCATCCACGCACTCTCACGAAAGCACAAATCGCACAGTACACACACACACACAAACACACACACACACACACACCTCTGCTGCATGCGTTACCTGATAATGGCATGCAGTGGGTGTACTAAGTTGTTATGGTGGAGTGCCTGACCTAATGCATTAGATTGAGCTCACTGTCAGGTCTTTAAGTAGCTGGGATCAGAGGCAGATACACAGCTAATGGATCCTTCTCTCCGTGGGTGGAATAACACAGCAGTAATGCTATTAAATGTGGTGCCGACAAAAAAAAGAAAGAAAATAAATAAATAAATAAATAAATAAAATCAACCCGAACTTAACTTTAAAAAATGAGAAGGCAACGATTGGACCAACTTAACATCATAACTGTTTTAATTTTTCATTACTATTCGCTTGGTACGCAGCCAGTTCAATTAATTTATGGTTGTTTAGGATTTTATTTGAGCAGGGTATTCATTACGGTGCTTGCTAAAAAGTGCAAATGACAGAACAGGAACAGTTAAAGATGTTATTTATTTCTGCTCTTAAAGTAAACCGTTCCGGAGTCCGTGTTGCGGCGGCAGTGATGGAAATCGCACAAATTGCTTTGTGCACTGAAACCATACCGACGTGTATTTTTGAGGGTAGAAGCTGAATGCATTTAGACTAATGTATCCATTGCTAGACTTCAAAGCATTCAGTGAGAAGAGATTACAGCAAGGCGGCTGGTTTACTTTGTTTTGGATATAAAATTAGTCTGAGAACGTAATGCAATCCAAGACATGTTTTATTCCAAGTTGGGGCGTTTGTTGGCTGGTTGTGAGAAATGTGAGAAAACATGCACAGATATGGAAAAACAACAATAATTTGATGATGTGGTAAAAAAAAAAGAAAGACTGGCTACAGGTGATGATTAGTGGTCTACAATAGAAAGCAAATATCTCTGGGACATTGTTGGCGTGTTTTACTCACATTAGAGCAGACGGAGGGGATTTTTTCGCCAAGAAAAATAGAAGCGTATCTGTAACCCTGTGTGTATTAACTGCACTGCTGTGAAAAACCTTCCAGATGCGAGTTGAGCCGGAGCTGTTAGCTGGGGTGAGTTTCCCCCCCGGATGACCCCTGATGGGTAAAAAATTTTAAAATCAAAGCGTATCAAAGCGGTAGACTTGAGGGTGGTGCGGTGAAAGAAGGGGGAATAGAGATGGTACGGAGAGGAGATGGAAAGTATCCCTGGCAGTACTGGCACCTCCATGTGTGCCTCTTACTGCTTCTGCCTCTCACGGCTTTGTGGGTACTGTAGTTGTAACACGCCTGCATCTTTTGTGTGTCTGTTTACCTGTATGAATGCAGAACAAGCAGACCCTGATGTCAAAGCAGATAGACCTCAAGGGTAAGGAGCCAGAAAAGGGTGTGCTGATGTCGCACACGGTATCAGACCTGAGGATCCCTCTGTCCTACGAGGTCCGACTGGCTCCCATCACCATCTACAGCATCGGGGACTACGTCAGTCGAATCATCCAGTACTCAGAACGTGAGTCTCATTTGAAACCTTTGATCCTTAAGTCATTCATACTCATTTCTATACTTTATACAGACAAATTGCTGCTTACCTCTGTGTTAATCAACACCATTGTACTTTTCTTACAGCTTACACCTACCCAAGACCTTCAGGTGAGACTCAACCACCATCTTCTGCTCTTCCAAATTTTACAGTCTTGAACTTGCCGCTGCGACCAGATTGATGACAGGGTGGTGAAGTTGGGACGGCATGTTGAATTTTGATGAAAGCTAATTTAGCATGTTTGCTGCAAGCAATGTCAGGACAAGTTTGTCAAGGCAAAGTTGTGCCATGAACCTGGCCTTTATTATCTTGTTGCCAGGCAAAAGAGCCTGTTGACGGTAGGACGCTGTGAGAAAGCCAGTGATGGCTGGAAGCAGGACTGTGGAATTTGAAATATCATGAAAGAACGACCGTGATTGGAGGATATGAGACTGGTTGTAGTGTGATTGGTTCATGGCTTTAAAAAGACTGTGTATGGAGGATAACCTTGAAAGTCTCTATACTAAACCTATGTTCCATCTCACCATAAATGCATACCTCCTTTTTGTCTGTTAGCCCAATCTCTCTCTCTCTCTCTGTTGCTCTTTTGCAGTAACTCTTGTTCTCTCCCTGCCTCTCATCCTCTCCCGGCATCCCTCTCTCTTTCTCAGTCAATTGCATCTTGTCTATTTTCTTCATTAAGAGACACGCAGCATTTTTCTGGCAGGAGTGGCAGTTGGCTCCGCCAGGGTGAGGCAATTAAAACAACAGCAGATTGGAACAGACTGCGAGAACAACAGTGCAAATTGAAAGGAGCGCATGTAGTGGAGCAGGGTGTGAATAGTAATAGATTAGCTCCCTGAAACAAAGAAGCACACACAAGCCGTCCTCATGGGGAGCACAAGCCATATGCATCTGGTACGGACTGTGTGTGTGTCCGGGAAGCTTTCACTGATGCTGTCAGCTTGGACGGTTTTAGATGGCTGTTGTTATACTCTCTTGGCTCGATTTTCGTTTGTTTAGTGAGTCTCTGATAATGGCAGAGTCTTCCAGATGGGCTAATGAAGGTGACAATACCATGGAGAGAAGCCCCTTTATCTTGCTTAACAAGAGACATCAACATCAAGGATGAAAAAAATTGAGTTTTTTTTTTTCTCTCAAAATATCCTTTTTTTTATCCCTCACAATGTATGTTGCAATAACAAAGCGTGCCTCAAAAACCAATGAATAGGAAGATATGGAACCGATCCCAAAGATCCTAGAAGATTTGCATCATGTTCAGCAAGTGTCAAGAGCCAGTTGAAGCAGTCAGAAGGGAAACAGTAGACTTGTGCTTCTTGGTGTGTTGCATACACAACATCCACACCCTTTAAAGGTGTACAGATGAGTCTCTGTGCTTGTAGTAATTGTCCCCAAGACAAATAACAGTTTATCACGTGTTGCATTGTCCAAAATGGGTTGAATAAAGTCTTCGTCTCAATCTATGTCAGACTAAATGGGGTCAGTTTGAACCAGACTTTGCCATGAATTATGTTCCTATACAGCTAAACTGCACGTCTAATTACATTCTGAGGGGAATCGAATTTAATTGTGAAATAAACAGATTTTCTCTTAAGGTTGAGACATAAGCCAGCAACCAGACTACAAGCCAGGAGATCATCTGTGTGGGATCATTACTCTCAGACTTCCACTTTGTTTTCACCTTCAGTTTTTACTTGTTTTCTGGTCAGGTATAGGCTTCGGTGGACACTTTCACCCTGATACCTACATGTTGGACGCTTGGTAACGTTTAGGCACCAGAATGACATTGTATGGGTTAGGAATAATATTATTATGAGGTTGAAATATGACCCTTTTACTGCATGTTTGCCTTCATTTTTATGGGTGATGAATCAAACCCCATGAAATATGTGATTGGTTGGCTTAAAAGCAATGACAGTAAAGAAATAAAACATATAGCAAAGATTAGTTGATTTGAAACGTGTGTGATATGTTGCAACAAAAAAAGGAATCCAGCAGAAACAAAGCTTTCCTCAAAATATCGCTGTGAATGCAGTTTAGTTGTATGGAAACATAATTCCATCCGTCATATTGATTTGTGTGCATGTGTGAGGCTTTTGTCCCTCAGAAATTTGAATCAAAAATGTCTCGTATGACATGTTGTGCCAACCATGTGTGTTTTAATGTCACTGATCTGAGTGGTTGGTTTATAGACACTTGGACAGTCACACTGTCAAGACATGATTCTGCATTTTAGACACAGGCGTTCTGTCTTTTTTAAATCTCTAAATGGATCATCATGACACATCAAATGTGTCTTACGGTGTGATCTTACACATGTTTACCACATTTCTGTTAAAGCTGTCAACTTTAGATCCAGACACACTTTGCCCATCAAGTACCAGGCGGCCAGTCGACAAAATCATTGGTTCTTTGATTATTGCATTGATTGGATTCTTGGATTATTTAACTAATGTCTCACTGAAACCTCACTGCCAAAAACAACTTGTCGTGTAAAAATGTCATTTATTACGGTCAGTATCTCCTGGAACTTGTTCTGATTCAGATCTCGTGTCAGACATTTTATGGTGTTTGTATTTTCATTATTATTTTTTATTACCTTGTTGTACATTCGACGGTTCCCAACCCAATCATAGACACCTTTAAAATGTTCCGTATGTAGGAGTCACACAAAATATGCATAATATGTGGAGTCCACTTAAAGTTTCATTTTATATACCCTGCCTCCTACATTGTGCCTATCACTTTGTCAGTAATTGCCTGGCTGTCTGATTTGTGAAGTGCATAATGCAGAGGCCATTATAGACCTATAGTGTTGCCATTAATTTCCTCGGAAATGTGGGTGAGGAAAAAGGAAAAAAAAAAAAAACAACAGCAGGTTATGTCACCTGCAGTTTGTAATATCACTTACCTGACATGTCGCTGATTTAATGTGCTTTTTTTTTTTCACTCTTGTTTGTTCTCCACACATTCCAGACCATGTGTGTGGTTTTGAAGACGAGCGGATCTGCGGTTTCTCTCAAGACCGGAGTGATGTTTTTGACTGGACGAGACAGAATCACCTGACGCAAAATCCCAAGCGATCTGCCAACACCGGGCCAGAGACCGATCGCAGCGGAACGAAGGAGGGTGAGGAAGCCGGGGACTCGTTTTAAGTCAACGTTCAGATGTATATGTAGTGAGAGAGAAACAGAACCGCATCGTTTTAGGAATTATGAAACTGAAAGAACAGTGAACTGGAATTTTAATACGCAGTATGTGGACAGTTCTTTAAATTCTGTCTTTCACAACAATTTGAGTAGTTGTACCTCGATATGGAAAGAACAAAACAGCTCGAGAGGTATGGATTCAACAATCTCTCAAGTCCACTTTGCTGCTACAGTCAGTGTTTCTCAGTCAGCTGTTTGTCATTTCAGCATTAATGCACAAAAGACCTCAGATGTGGTTCAGAGTTGATCAAGAATGCCATTAGACTGACTTGGAGTTGTGGCTCAGAATGACGAGCAAAGAGGTGACCGTGCAAATAAAAATTGTGGTTAAAAAAAAAGGAGCAAAAATCTGTCCAAGAGTTATCAACGGTAGTTGGTTTGCCAAAATCAACAGCTGGGTCCACTCTTAAAAAAGCAGATGCACACAGATAAACTGAAAAATGGTAAAACTTTCAAGACTTTGGAGAAAAAAAAAGAAATGTAATAAATAAAGATGCATCTTTATGTGTGTGTGTTCATTTACCTTTGAACCAACATCATTAAATGCTTGTTTCCATGCTGAAGTAAACCCACTCAGATCAATTTGACTATCCAATATGTTATTTCAACAAGACATGGTCGTAGAAAACTTTCTGTTCTGTAACATTCTGCTGTTTCCTTGTCGGTTGCAGGGTACTACATGTACATCGAAGCGTCGCGCCCACGTGTTCAGGGGGACAAGGCTCGTCTGCTGTCTCCACTTTTTAATGTGTCCTCAAACAGAGGCCCCAAGGGCTCCGGCAGAGTTCCATACTGCGTCTCCTTCTACTATCACATGAAGGGCAAACACATTGGTGAGTGGAACAGAAGAGGAAAAATGTTGACAAAAACATGCCGGCGTTCGCGTCGTGTTCTACCATATGGAAGCGTTTATAGCAGCACAGTGGCGCACGCGGACATGCGGTGGAGAGTCTGTTGACACTAAATGCTGTCGGGGTTCTTATATCGCTGAGCTTCCCTTTTAAAAGCTGAACTCTGAGTCTGACCCTTGCATGTAGAGCTTGTCAGACAACACTGCGTGAATGTGTGTATAAGCAAGAGAGAGAGTGTGTGTGTGTGTGTGTGTTGGGAGGGAGGGAGAAAGATGGTACAAAAGTTCTTTGTGTATGTTTCTGCTTGTACCTCAGTACGTGCATCTGTGTGTGTTTGGAGGTGGTTGAAGGGGGCAGTGGGTGTGTGATTTATGGCAGTGGCAAGACACAATCAGTCATTTGGGGGAGCTGTTCATCATAATATGCTCTGTCACGCTGCTAGAATGCATACATCTTGGAGCGTACACACCTGCACACACTTTTTTTTTCTCCACACGCCCCCGCACACAAACACACACACACACACACACACAAGCACGGGTTTCCACAAACAAACAAACAAATTTAGTAAGACTAATAAATGAAGGCATGCCCACGTTCATTCGCGCACATAGACACAGACAGACGGACACTCGTGAACACGCACACACAGAATATTGATTTATGTGTTCCTAGACCGAGCATACAGGCTTCAATGTAGCATTTGTTCCCTTGCTGACCTCCCTTGTCTCCTAAGGATATGTATTGCTTAGAAGGGCAAAATGTTGTATGTGTATTATATATATTAATAAAGATTGTTGATGATATTTACATTAGGACTGCACGGTGGCTTGGTAGTTAGCACCGTCGTCTGTGCAGAGTGGGTTCTCGCTGGGTTCTCCCACAGCCCAAAAACATGTTAATTGGTGATTCTAAATTGTCCATAGGTGTGAATGTGATTGTGCTTGTTTGTCTATCTGTGTAGCCCTGTGATAGACAGGTGACCTGTCCAGGGTGTCCCCTGCCTTCACCCTATATCAGCTGGGATAGACTCCAGCCCCCCACGACCCTAGTGAGGATTAAGCGGTGTATAGATAATGGATGGATGGATATTTACATTAGCATATGCTGGATGTATCGTCCCTCTTGTTTCCACTGCCTCCTCTCTACTTGTCTCGGCTCTTCTTTTTTTCCCCCGTCAAGCGCACAAACACAAATACACATGAGCTCAAACATGCTGGAATAGTGTGAGGAGACATACAAACTGTATTAGATTAGACATGCTGACTTTGTCTTTAAGTATATTTAGTTGTACAAATGAGAGACAATGTATGCAGACATAGATTGCTATATGTAAGACCATAAGTACACCAAAAAGCATGTGTGATGTTTAGACTTCTTATATATTATGCAACCCCAGTTAAAGTAACCAATATTATCATGATGAGTCTGGGGAATTGACTTCTTGACCTGTTGCTGAATTTGATACTCATGATCACGATGTAGGGTTATGTTAGACAGGTTGGAACTAATTTATTCATTTATTTATAAGACTTTTGGGGGACATTTTCACCTTCATTCTAAAGCAACAGTGAAAAGAGCCAGGAAATGTGGAGAAAGAAGGCAGGAGAATGAACTCAACAGGTTTTAACAGTTGGTTTGCTTCTTATCTCTCTTGGAGACAGTTTCCCAAACAACCAATGCTATTTTTTTAAGCACTTTAAAATAATTTGTGGGGTTTTCCAAGGATGGCTTTTAGGACCACTGCTTTTTACTCTATATATGTTGTGTCACCAGGAGACAGGTCATTTTTGTCCGAGCCTATGCAGATGACACACAGCTTTATTTGCATGTGTCTCCTAAAGACACGTGACCAATTCATGCTCTTTATAGATGCATTTTAGAAATCAGCACAAACCTTTTATATGCTAAATAGGTTTATCATATAAATAATGGTGAAAAACAACAAGTGTTTAATGAAAAACCAAATCTTATCTTAACCTACAACAGAGTTTTCATGTAATACAGTGTCATAGCCCTTGAGTAGGCGTGGGAGATACTACAACAATTAAATTCGTATTGTGCAGTTCGATCAAAGTTATTATAGGTGCTTCAATGTGATAAGACAATAAAACACCAGTCACACAGCGCTTGCGTACAATTAGTGCAATCTCTTAGCAGCTCTGCAGCACCTCTCGCTAAATTTCCAATGTCGGTCCCCCAGTCTGTTCCAATCTGTTGTTGCTTTAATTGCCTTACCTTGGCAGAGCTTACACTCTTGCCACGGAGACACGGTGTGACTCCTAATGACGAAAAGAGGCAAGATGAGGATAAGACAGAAGGGGTCAGTGAAAGGAGAGACGAGAGGAGAAGAGCGAGGGGAGGATGAGGGTCAGCCAGACCCCGGAAAAAAAAAAGGACAGGGTTAATGATGAGGCCGAGACCAAAGAGGATGGAAGGAAAAAGAGACGGACTGAGAGAAATAAAGTACGACTAAAAAAAAAGAAAGAGCTTCAGGAGAGGCTATCTACTTGTTGATGTCCAGAAGTAGTGAGAGGATGCTGAAGCACAGGAACTACTTTTATGCACTTGATTATATGGTGTTAAAGCACTGTAAAAGTGTTTGAAGGGCTTTATATGTTGAAAGGATTTAGGCACTTTGACACGAGGCAATTTTTAGAAATACTCTTTAAATATTGCTCTTTCTGACCCACGTATACGTTGGCGCTTTTGTAATCCTAAAGGTTTGGGAACAGAAAGAAAGGGGAAAGTTTCTTTTGAGGATTTTGCAAAACAAGTTGAGGAAGCATAATGTTCTTTGTCTGGTTGGGGTTTTTAGGTTTGGAATAGGGCAACACTGCAAATACAGACCTCCCCAGGTGATGTGTTTTTTTGCTGTTCACCTTAATGTGTTTCTCTTTGGGCTCGCTGGCAGCAACAATAAACAACATTTAATTAGTTTTGTTTGGCATTGGGTAGTGCTTTAGACTGGCTCGGGTTTGCAGAGCGCCACTGGCAAGCTTACTTGGAATCACTGGATTATTTTAATTTCAAAGTGATGGAAGACAAATTAGAGTTTGGGGTCTTTAAATAATGTAGTTCTTGCATGTTGCTTGGGTAATGATTTTATAAAGTAAGACTTTAAATAAGTTTCTGTTTTCATAGAAGAGGACTGGTGGTTACAGTTTAGCC